ATTTTATTAATAATTAATTTACAAACAAGTATTACAAACAGTTTATTTTACTAATTAATATAATTAATTTAATAGTGTACATGTTTTAAATTTGTGCACATGTATTTTATAGTATTATAAAAATTTATAGTGCACTAATTTTTAAAATTATTCACATAAAATAAAAATACAATGTACGCAACTTTCACATGCTTTTGAGGTAAGATTTTATACACTGCCCTACACCAATTAATTCATAGATATATGAATTTTTAAAGACAAATAAATCACAATGGTTTTTGCATATGAAATTACACAAATTAATACACAAAGTGATTGGTAAATTAAAATAGCTAACCAATCAAATTTGTGAATTTTTGTACTATGTATAAATAAAAGCAAAAATTGTTTTATAATATAATATTTGATAAAAATTGTAGTTTATTGTTTTCTAATCTTTTCACAATTTTTATATGTCTCTGCTCTAGCTGTAGTAATGATAGTTACTTTGATCAGCTTAGCTGACTACCTAGTCGTAATGATGCCTGATAAACCTATTTTGGGTTGACAAAATAGTTTTATCAATGGTTTTGTTTGATAAAACTTGATAATATAACATAACTATTGATTATTGACATAACTACTAAAGATTGACAAAACTCTTTATGAAATTAATTTATCCAATAAAAAACAAAATGCAGTTGTCTATTATTCAACAAGCTCTTTTATAACAATTGCTATTTATTCTGAATTTTAAATTTTTTCAAAAACTGTTATTTAATCATCAGTTTCTTCTTTGTTAGACCTTCAGTGAGTAATGTAAATTACTGGGTAATGTTGAGTAAAGATGTAAAAAAAATTTAAAAACTGTGTAGATAAAATAATGAACAAAAATAAGTTTATATAGGCCAATCTATTTCTATTAACTAGTTTTCAATGACTCCTAAAGGATATATGTTACAGTTTATTCTGGAACTACTTGGCTTTACTTTTGGTTTTTACTCACTTGGCTAATATCTTTGATGATCATATATCATACAGGTCCTTCTACTAATATGTATTTATACAGGTAATAGTTTATTCATTAAGATTAATTCAAAGGTAATTACAGGAGCTAAACTCAAAGCTATTAAAGCATGAAAGCTAGAACTTTCCCTTTCAGAATTGATACCTTATACTAATTACTAATGCATATTTTGAGTCACTAATTATTAATTCACTATTATTACTAATCGCTAATGATTACCACATTGTTCATGCAATCACTTATTTAACTTTTAATTAATTTTGTGAAACCACATCACACCATTCATGCAAATCCTGATCATGACCTAATCATGATTTCTGACTCTTGTACTATGAATTCCCGGGCATCAAAGTCGACCATGACAATATTTCATCTTTTTTAATTTTTCTTATATTTGTTATATAAAATTTATATTTTGTCATGAGTTACATTATTCGTCACAAGTTACATTATTCGTCACAAGTTATATCATTTGTCATCAATTTGAAGTTGCCTAATAAAGCCTTTTTGTTATACGTTAGTGATGAAAGGTTTTGTCATTCGTTATTCGTCAGGCATCATTAGCTAGCCAATACCAAATTTTTATTTACTGGCTGATAAATTATAATTATTGCATTAATTCAGCAAATTACAGAATTATTGCAAGAAATACCCCAGCTGTTCATCACAGCAAATTCTTAATTATGACAGCTAAGAGCAATGATCAAAATTTAGGCTGAAATTGCTTGAAATTTTCTAATAAAATCACATTTACCCATTAATTTTACCATAGTAGAAGCCTAATTCCCTAAAAATTTCTATTTTTGTAATAAAAAAGAAACTTAATTCTGGTTAAAAATTATGAACAATTGTATAATGTGGGTCAAGATTTTGTAGACCATGGCATTTAGTTGAGAATCTAAGTTGGTGTGATAGTTAAGATGTTTTATTGTAAGATACTACTATACTAAAAGACAAGCATGTTTTATCTAACAATTGAGCATTTTTTGTCGAAGATTTGCAATACAGAATTTTAATAATAAATAATCAGTTTGCAAAAATATATCCAATCTAATTCTATAAAGAGAATTTCTCAACAACTATCTAATAAATTTTTTTTTATTTTAATTATACATTTAAAAAAATTTTACTGAGTTTAATCAATTAGTTACAGAGAAGTCTTCACTATAAAAAAGTTTTTAAAATTTCATATGACCAATCTACATTTTCAAAACAATCTAATTCTGGTTAAATTTGCAGATTGTTTGGTCTATTGGGGGTCCACTAAAGCAGGTAATCATGTAATATAATGTTTTTTATTAGAGTACTTTAGGGTTAGCACCCATCTTTGGTTAGAGTTAGTGTTAGGGTAGTTTCTATAGATAAAATTATCTCTTTGACATTTTTTGTTAATGCTGCAAGGTGGGTTTAGACTATAGTTTCTTCTATTTTTTGCATATTTCTCTTTTTTTTACTTGTTTTGCTTCGTTGGGCTGATCTGGGATTATCAAATTTCAATGATTTGATTGGTTGATTATTATATAATTTACTCCACTTTAGTAAACTCCTATTGGGGATGAGTTTTGTAGATCAGGATCTTCAATATTTTGATCATTTTGATTGGCTGTTTATAATATGTAACTCAAAATTTTTTTCACCATGGTCAAATATGTATAATTGTATAATATATAAAAATATAATTATTTGATGCTTGTTTATATATTTGACTAAAAAATTGATTAAGTAATTGATTAAGTAATTTATCAGCTATAGCAGGCTACTAGTCTATAGTCGATAATAGCTGACTGTAGCTGACTGAACTCATCCCTATTTCTGACTATAAAGATGATAGCACAAACTTGGCTATAGAAGTTTAGTTTAAAGGATTAAGGCTGCATATTTATGAAGGTGCAGCAACATGTTATACTGGGATAAAGATCCAAACAACCACCCATCAGCTATAGAAATTCATAAAACTATTTTAAAATGGAAAAATAGTATTGAAATTTTGACAGAATTTTCAAAATTTGATAAAGAAATTGTGATTGAAAATAATAGCTTTAACAATATAAATGTTAGTATGATTTATACTAGCAAGTATATTGTAAATACTTAATTGCAGATGAAATTATTTCTGATAGAAAATACTTAATTACAGATGAAATTATTTCTAATAGTAATTTTTTTATTGGGGATATTGTAAAGCATAATGAATTAATCAAAGATACTAATATATTTCAATAAGGTTTTTTTAAAAAATACAAGACATATTAAACAAATATACATATACTACACATTGTATATGAATCACACTATTTTATATAGCATGAGGAACTTTCTTATTTTTTCGAAAAAACTCAAGATTGTTATAAGGTAGTTAACTAATAAAAAGCTAGCTTTTTGACATGTGATATCATTTTTGTCAAAACAGATAGATAATTGTTAAACAATCAACAGCATTATTCATATATTATAATTCTCTTCAAAGCAAAATAACTCACATTGTTAAAGAATCCATTAATTCATGTATTAAAAGCAATTTTATAGTTGTAAAAACTTTATTTAAAAGGTTTGGTAACAAATTACATGTCTTTTAATAGTTTTTCTTAAAACCCCACATAATTAATAAAACTATACTATTATATATATTAAATAACTTCTATTGTGTTAAATATCTTTTAAGAAGTAACATAACTTTAAGAAGAGTCTACAAAATTTGAAAACAAGTTAATATTAAACTAAAAATAAAAATAAAAATAACGATGTTGAACTTTGTGAATTGAACAGTACAATATACTTTTATTACCTCTTACTATACGATAGATAGTACTTCAACCTTTACCATAACTACCATGATGTGGCATGATGCAAATGATGCAAGTTGAGTTTATTGAAAAGACGTTCTCTACGAAGCTATTTTATTAGTAAAGTATTACATGATTGATTTTTTTTTTTTAGGTTTGCTTATACCCGAAAATTCTGGTTTTAGACTACTTTTCTGTATAAATACTTGTGTAACGTCGATCCCGGAAATCATCGGATTCGAATGTCTCCCATGCTCTGTAAAATGACTCGTTCACACCTAAAGCCAGAAGGCTGTCAATGGGTAATTCTGGGAGATTAATTTTCGAAAAAAAAAACCGCCTGTTAAGATCAATTTTTTCTATTGGTCAATATTAAAGTCGAATTTCAAGTGACTAATCGTTTATAAAAACCCCTTTTTTTAAAAAAAAAATCGATTATATTAGAAGGCCAATGCAATTTCACTTCAGAAAAATACGACTTTTGAAACACTCGGTATAGTTTATTTGTTAATGATAAATTATATATACAGATATATAAGGGTCTATCGCACATAATTATTACATTGCCCCGCGGCTCCCGTTTTTTCATGAGTCGTTGCAGCTAGCCTAGATATAAAACGATAAAATTTTGTTACGGCCGTCAGATCTTCTTGCGATGGTATGAGTGCGCAAGAATTTCAAAAATATTTTTTAGACGAGAGTATCAATCCATTAGCAAAAGATATTTAGAGATTACTTTTACATTTTATCAAGATATAGAGCCACCGTCTGGAATGAGTCAACAAGGTTAAAATGGTTGTAAAACTAGAGGAAACATTGACAATCTATTGGAGTCCTGGTGTTCGCTCTTGTCGGGATTGTATGATCTCAAGAATTTTTAGGTAAATTAATTTCCTATTTTGCACACACATATATATATTTTTATAAGAATCTGAATAAAATTTTATTAATAATATTTAATAGTTTATACTCGAATCAACTTTTGAGATCGATAATGAAGTTTTTGAACTTATTTTACCAGTAACATCAAGCATAGATTTACCAGAGTCTCGAAATAAACATACACATTATTGGATCTGTCATTTTAAGAGTGTTATCGCGTTTTTTGAGTGCTGATAATATGCGACGCGCGTTAAATAGTTTAATAAAAGATGTAGGAAAGAAATATAAAGAAGCCCAAGATTATGAAGAATGGATGTCTCAAACCTACCTTAGTGAACTTTTTTCAAGATTCTACGCTGAATTTAATGAAGAAACTTTATTCAAAATGCAAGAAGATTATTAATACAAAAATCTTAATACTGAAGTCCAAAATTTTTTAGTACAGGATTGGCAGCAATATAAATCAAGAATTTTACAAATCGCCCAAAGAATTGATAACGAATTTGCGGTTAAGCAAAAAACAAATCGCAATTATTGACCGTCTAAAAAAGAACATATGGCTCAGCGAAATTAGAACAGAGTCAAATTATAAGCATTCGGAGCCCACTTTATAAATACTTAACGGGTTAGCCCTTCCGCCACATTTTCTTGAAGTGTTAAAGTTGGTAGTCTTCATTTTACGTATTTGGGAGTCTGCTGAAGGCGACGATTTAGATGGACAACACAATCTTGGATTCTGCAATAAGAAAGACGTACGTACGTATGTACGTACGTAGATACAACCAATTTGAGTGGTGTTTGAAATTCGTTGTAGGCTGTGATTCCTAAGGACAACGTAAGGCATATTAAGAAGTTTCAACTTAAAACATCCTTAAACTTTCTTTTGGGTGCTTAAGTTTGTATGAACGATTTAGAAACTACTGATAGTGATGAATTTGTATACACCTACTTCTCTTACAGTTAGTTAAGCTATTACTTAGGCTTGATCGTGTAATAGATACCGGTGATCCAATCTGACAAATTTATATGTTAGCAATATAAGTTTTGAGGTATATTTTTATTTTAATTAATTAATTAATTATTTATTTAACTATTTATTATTTAATAAACATCTTAGTTTTCATAGGAGTTTGCTATAGCTGGTGTGAAGATAATATAGTACTCAGGAGAAAAAGGATAGAAACCGTAATTGTGAATTTGTCACTTTTATAGATCGTGAATGCACTGCTATATTATTCTGATAACTGTCCGATTTTTGCAATATAGAGCAAAATAGGATACCTATCGGGTTTGTTTATTTGTACAACCGGTGCTTCAATATGAATATGATATGACACCAAGTCTCCTATTTCCGCCAAAATATCTGTTTGAAATCAGAAATCAATTGGAGACATTTAGGCTTTATTCTTTCAATAAATTTTTATATGCATATCATATTGATGTAGGAGACCTATCGGACCTGTGTAATAATCTACTGTAAAATAATACATCTAAGACTGTGCAAAGTTAGCACATAGGTTTTCTGTGCCAGGTTATGCCGATCATGTCGATCATCACGCGTAGATCCTTTTAATAAATTTGAACGTTTTTTTAAAACTTCTAGCGATAATTTCTCAATAACCATTTGATCAGATTCGCTAAA